TTGGAAGGGCCCCGCAATTGTTTCTATGCTTGAGCCTTCTCCCAGTGCTGGTTGTGTGACCTGTGTATGGTTGGCCCATGGTGCAAGCTTGGTTCGGGCTGCCTGAGACCATTGCTGCTCGTCCCTTGCAACAACAGGTGCTGCAAGCTCTTTGCGTGGGCCTGTTCGCTTTTTGAGCCTTGGGGCACCCAGTTCGTCTGACACCTCTCCAATTTTTCCCTCTCCGGACCAGGTGCTACCTATGGACGCAGAGATGGAGGAGCCCCACACGGACGAAGAGCCTGGTGAAAGCCAACCGGAAGTCATGACGGATGAAACTGAACCCAGGGAGAAAGATGAAGCGGCAGCAGAAGCAGAAACAAACAGCGGCAGCCACGAACCTAGCACACCGCAGCAGCAGCAGATACAAACATCGGCAGCTGCAGAACCGCCGCCGCTGCAGAAACACACCAAGAATGATGAACTCCCAAGGGATCCAACACAGGAGAGACGAGAAAGATCTCGAAGTCCTCCCCCAAAGGAAGCAGCCCTGAAGTCATACAACTTGGCACGAAAGGTAGACGGCATGCCGCAGGTTGAGCTTAATGACCCACGCTTCCTCTCGTACATGAAGTCTGTCGATGAGGAGCTGATTGCAGACACCATCAATGAGAAGTATCTGTCCGCTGAAGACAAACAAGCCTTCAGCGAGGCCAAGGACAAGGCCCGGCAGGTTTGGATCGACAACCAAGCCTGGCGTGCCGTGGGTCGGTCGAAACTCAAGAAGGTGAACTTGTGCCGGCACGCATGCTTCAAAGATGGAAGCCCACCAAGGAAGGCAAGGTTGCAAACTGCAGAGTCATCATCCAAGGCTTGCGCCATCGTGATGTCCTGGAAAGTGAACTGGATAAGGAAAGTCTAACCCTGTCCAGAGTGGGTCGCATGCTGATCATGCAATGGACATGTCAGTTGCAAATGAAGCTGTTCAGTGCCGACGTAAAGTCCGCCTTCATGCAGAGTGACCCCATAGACAAGGAGGCCCGCATCTTCATCCAACCCTCTTCCGACATGAAGAAAAGGCTCGCAACAATGATGGAAAAGGCTCGCAACAAAGGCCTCTTCGAGATCATCAAGTGTTGAAAGCCACCAAACCGGCTTTTGGAGATGTCAGTGCACCAAGACAATGGTACCAGACCGCTGACCACTACCTGACCGAAGAGCTTTTGATGATCCATCACCCACTTGATCGGTGCATATACCTTAGCACAAGAGCCGCCACGAAAGATGATCCTCCTCTTCAGATCTTCTACAACAAGGACAACGAAGCCCTCATTGTGGATGGCTACCTGGGTTTGCACGTGGATGATTTCATCGGTGCAGGTGAAGGCATCAACAGCCCAAATGACGTGAAATTTGATGAAACCAAGGAGGAGGTCCCAAATAGCTTTGCACACGCTCGAGAAGACCAGAAAGGCCAATCCTGACGCTCCCTTGGATGAGAAAGAGCATCGAACTTTGAGAGCCATCATTGGCGCGTTGGCCTGTTCAAGAGGTGCTTGCGTTTTGTGTATGATGCTGGACAACATGTGCTCTTGACGCGAAAAGAAAGAGATGAGTCCACCTATGTGGAGAGCCTGGTGACGCGGCTGAGCTGGAACGAAGTGCATGACAAGATTTGCCAAACACCACTCACGTTTGACCCCAATCTTGGTCAACACAGGTTTGTGGAAGCAATACCGCATGAGCACGGTGCTTTTGAATTCCACAATGAGGTTCTACCCACACATCCGCTAGAAGATGAACTGAGTGGGCAAACTGAAGGGCCAACTTTTGACTGTTTTTCGAAATTAAAAATTCTCCACCGGTGACAATGAAACTAGCGTTCACTGAGTGCAGTTCATGTTTGGACACCTTCCATGTCCCTTTTGCATAGCAGCATCATTCCGACGCATCCTTTCGGGTCAAATAGGAGTGTCAAATAGGGCTTTTGAGTCTAGCCAGGCACGACACTCGCAGGTTCGCCCGCGACAGAAAGATCCAGGTCCGTTGATTCCGACGTGTTCTTGCGGACCTCATGTGCTTTGTGGTTTGGTTGTTCTACTTGCGCTACCACGAAAATGTCGACTTTCTCTACAACAAACGATTTCAAAGGGGCCATCATCAGTTCGTTCCCCCCCAAAAAAAGAAAAATTGCTGTTTTTGGGGGGCTCGTGGCTCGACAAAAGCCAGTACGAAAAATGTTTCAACACTTAACTTAAATACAAGTGTCCTCGTGTATTTCAACTGCACCATAAAGCAAAAAATCGGTCCAATGCTTTTTGAACGTTTTAATATGCCAAAACAATCCGCACAAGGGAATGGTTCGACCTTTCAACCACATGAGGGGTTTGGGTGGCAGACGACTCAAAAAGAAAGGCAGGCACATTTCCAGATTAATTATATATATGGTGCATTCTGGTGCGACGGATGTCTGGAAAAGAAACGCCCTTCCAGAGCGTTGTCCAATGCATAGACATGGTGTCTTTGTCGGCCACAAACCTGCCAGCAGCAATAAAATATTCGGCTCGTTTGTTTTCATATGGCTCTCCCCTTCGCTCCTTCCCCTTCGAACTTAGCGATCGCCTTGCAGGCGTTTCACCTCAAGCTCCATTGTTTGTACCTAGAACCCTGCGGGTGTAAAAGCAGCGACGGAGCGTAAACATAGACCGTACATCATGTTGAGGTCACCCCGCGAAGTGGTGGAGGGAACCGCCTTTTTTTCCTTCTCCCAAGCTTTTCTCGCGCTGAAAGTCAGGGAGCAAGAAACCACGCTGTTGGTGAGCCGGGCAACGTCCGGGCGAAAAGAGGCCAAATCCAAGCCACAGGCCCCGTGGGAACGGTTACGGGGGCAGGCGGCTGGAGGTGGGGGGTGTCAGCGGGGATTCCGCGAGAAGTTGGCTGATGGAGCGGGGGTTGTTGTCGACCTTGTGCTGGGGGGAGAAAAGGGCGGTTTGGATGGCTGGTTGCAGGAGGGCGGGGGCTTGCCGCGCTTTGGACTTGGCCAGGAGCCGGAGTCTCGGGAGCGCACTTCCTTAGAACCATGTTTCCATGTGCCCGGCTGGGGGGCCGACTGCCTGTGTGGAGCGCACCCCAAATACGCACAAAGAAACACTTGGGTTGAGGGCGCGATCCTTGCGACATTGGGGCTACCCAGTTTAAACCTTTTGGTAGAGGAAGCGCTGCGCGAGTGACAGCCGTCAACAGGGCTTAACGGGCCTGACGGGCCGACGAGAACACAACGGGCTCTCCACGGAACCTTGACAGGCCCAAGCGGCCAACGTGCACTGTACCCCCCGCCTATCAGCCTGAACAACGAACGGCCCGTGCCACCTCCAGAACCACCTTTACTCCGGCTTTCCCTTCATCAGGAGGTAGTGCAACTACAGGGAAAAATCCTCTTGAGAGGGCAGGCTTACGCATTCGTCGGCGACTTTCGAGGTAGTTGATGTAGGCCTCATCGACATGGTCAACAGCTTCTTCAATCTCGGGGTCTTCTTCTTCATACTCATCAGCCTCGTAGGCTTCCTCCTCATAGCCCCAATCATAGTTCTCATAGGTGTAGGCTTCATAGGCCTCTTCATCCTCATAGGTGACTTCATACTCTTCTTTGAAGAAACCATCGTCCTTGGCAGCTTTTCCACCAGGTTTGATGTCTTTCACATTTGGACGATGGTCGCCACCGAACATCTTGATGAAGGCCTTTTGAACATGATCATATTCCAATTCACTTTGACATAAGGCCTTCACCTGCACATGCGTCCACTTTGGCACCGCTGCCCTGGTGAGAAGGTGCCAACCAGCGAGAGGTGAAGGGATCGTGATCTTGACTTCTTTCATCTTGGCCATCATGGTTTTGTGCCTAATCAAGTAGGAACTCGCCGAAGAACTCTTCACATCGTGCATGCAGGGACTTCAATCTGCTCTTGGTACTGGTAGATGTCATCAAGGATCTTGTAAATGGGCTTGAAGGGCTGTGCACTGCTTTCCAAGGCGGTGTAGTCGATGGATTCAGTAGCTTCCCACCCCAGATTGTTGAGGCGTGAGATCATGAGCAATGCACCTTCCACTGCGGCATCGAAACTTCTTGGATGGCATTGACGTTCAAACAGCTCGAGGCGGCGACGAAAAGACCTGTACGTCTTCTGGGTGAGTCCTTCCATATTGGGACATGCTTTTGCCAAGCCGCCATCTAGGCCGCGAACTTGTGGAGCAAAAGGGGCTTGAGCTTGTGCGCCTCGCGGTTCATTTCCTCCGTTAGGATAGCCAGCATCATCTTCATCCCGAGTTCTCTGTCGACGCACAGCCATTCTTTGAGCTCCCTTGCCTCCTTTGCCTCTCTCATCAGACATTTGCCCCGCCGAACACGATCTTTGAGATGAGCGTATGCTTATCTTTTCAGAAGATGCAATAGGTCAGGTCAATCAAAAAGGATCGTGCCGTCAGAGCCAGGAGAGAGGATCACCGCAGGCTCCGCTACCAATCTCGTGGTAGCGCAAGTAGAACAACCAAACCACAAAGCACATGAGGTCCAACTCCAAGAACACGTCGGAATCAACGGACCTGGATCTGTCGCGGGCGAACCTGCGAGTGTCGTGCCTGGCTAGACTCAAGGGCCCTATTTGACCCGAAAGGATGCATCGGAATGATGCTGCTATGCAAAATGGACATGGAAGGTGTCCAAGCATGAACTGCATTCAGTGAACGCTAGCTTCATTGTCAGCAATGGCACAAATTTGTCAGCCATTTTCGACCGATGGAATTTTGGGTGTCTGCTTTATAACACTTGCGCCGTGTTTGCAAGGTTCCTGGAAAAAACGTCAAACACAATGACGAATTTGCACGTTTCCATTCTTGTTTTGTGGGGTATATTTCCTGTTTGCCACATGGTTGTCGGTCTGATGCCACCCAAGATTTTGATCCGAAGGCTTAGGTTCAGAGGTTTCGAAGATTGTGTAGATGGAATTTGAATTTCAGTGCCCGCCATGTGCCGGATGTGCGCCCTCATATCTGATGAGGCGGTGCCTTGCCTTGAGACCTTGACATTACTTTTTCCCACCCACCGTTGCCCACTCAATTATGTAAGGTCCTACTGGCCGACATTTTGCTGCGGCCGCGAATGTCCTTAGTTCACCAGAGCTATGCAGCTCGGGAGCGGCGAGCGCTGCCACAAGGAGTGTCACCAAGTTCCTGGGTTTAATGCTGTTGTTCAATATGTGTTTTGTTTAGCCGCGCCAGCTTTTGATTTGCGAATCCCGAGGCATGGCGTACCAGCAGCCGTGCTTGAAACTTGAATGGATTAAGTTCCCCCCGAACGAGCCAAGAGTCCGACAATGTTTCGCGAGTAGGCATGTCATATCACTGATGCAACGAAATTTTTGTGTTGCAAGGAACGCCGATGGCTTTGGCGTGGGCTGGTATGCACAGCAAGCCCCACTTCCTTGTGTTTTCACTTCTTTGAAACCAGTAACTCTGGCTGCTTCAGTGCTGTGCATCCTACCTTTTCTGTGATGGAATTTCCGCGCGCAGTGTTTGTGTTGCTTCCATTTGAGGCATGGAATGATCCGAATCTTCGGAACTTGTCCGATGAGGTGCCGTTGTTCGGCGGTTAAACATGCGATAACTGTGGCCGACCCATCTGGCCAGATACGAGGTGAGTCCGAACCAAGGTGTGATGAGATTGGTCAGGTGGTTGGGATGAGTTGATCGTTGTGACATGATGTGTGGTGGGCAGACGTGTAAGGTAAGGAACCTGATGGCATGATGTGCGAACCCTGCCAGTGCTGAAGGGAAAAGCAAGACACAGACGCAATGGGAATGTCCATTTGCAATGACCGGCCAACCGTCAACAAACAATCATTGTACCAGCAGCAGCGGGGCAGGCCAAACATGAACTCAACATGTCGTCTCTCCTTTTTAGGATTGCTGTTCTACTGTTGTGGAGCCACGCATGTCCAAGTAGTGGCTACAGCAAAAACATTTCATAGCAATACAAGCAAGAAATTCCATTGGAAACGACGCTGTTTGTGTTGGAGATGTTCCTCGCAACTTAACGAGGAATGAATGCCTTTTCACATCCCCAAACGTCACATTGAAAATGTCCGTTGCCACAAGAAACCGCTCCCCCACATATCCTGCACTGTGCCTACTCAGCTCTGACGGTCTACACATGAGCCTCCTCCAACTGTGAGCTTTAATGTGCCCGCACCGGTTGTGTTGGTGTTTGCAACTGCGCCAGTCCAGTGGGGCAATGCCAGCGACAGTCCTTCAAAACGTCCTGCCCCTGCGAATATTTTTTCCCGCACTTGCACATTTTCACCGGTTTGCAGTTCCTACATTGTTTTTTACTTACAACGTGGACACATCAGCGATTGTAGAGCCAACCTTTGCTCCTGATGTGATTGCCACGGCCCAAGATCACCTCCACGAGTCACCTGTGTGGAGGTGCGCTCGCCATTGATTTTTGCTCATATCCGGGCTGCAGGACCGCCCCGTGCTCAGTGATACTTCCTCCGCTCGGTCAGGGTGGGGTGGCCTTCGTGGATTAAGGTCCTCATCGGTGAACGAATCTGCATGCCATCCTTTCAAAGCTGGGCGCCGCTCACCTGGTTGGAGTGCAAAGTTTTTTCTCAGGTTCTTTTCTTCGGCACGCGATCTTGCCATCATTTACAATTGCAAGTCACGAGGTTGAGGGGATTGTCTGAGTCTAAGGCTTTCTGTTTGCGCACAATGGCCTGGTTGGCAATTTCGCTCAGATTCGAAGACAGCTATTGGCGAATTTAAATGAGAAACGTGGCGGCAAGTGGCGGCAAGGTTCACCCTGTTGAAGGTGTTCAACCAACCTTCTTCTCTGTTAAATGGAGGCCGTAGCATTGGAGTGTCAACATGTAACATAGCGAGGGGGGTCTTTGTCCAAAGTGTCTAACGTAGGGTGAGGTGGGTGCTGTGCAAACTGCTCAGGGTGCAGTGGAGGTGCTTTCACAGTGCTGAGGTGCTGTGTGCTGCTGTTGCGGGGTGCTAGAGCTGTTGAAATAGCGGGCCATAATTCGCGTTTGATTCCATCATATGCGGGGGTCTATGCCAGTGTGTCAACCACTTGTCTCCTCAAATCAGAGCCCTACTTCACGTGAAACCAATTATTCAAGCCGGCCACTACACCAACACCCCCACATAGTTCATAGTAGTGCGAGTGATATGGAGATTCTTTCTTGGTCATTCACTTTCTGCTTACTGGAGGCACATGTCAGTGCAGCTTGAGGTATGCTTTTGGTGTCACATTGGAGCACGCCTGCATCGACTCGGTTGATACTTGACAGAAGTGCACCATGCGGGAAACGGCCGTTCTTCTCACCGCATGGGGTTCAAATTCGTCGTGGCATTCACGGTCCAAAGTGACAGGATCCAGCTAGGTGGGGAGCCATATGGCACGTCATGTTGTTCACAATAGCGATGCCAGGAGGGATGCAAGGAGTGGTGCACACATGCAAGCTCAGGTCGCATTCGGGATTTTCCTGACAGAGCTGGGGGTGACCAGCGATGAGGATGCCATGGCTGAGCGAACCGCGGACTCGCTTTGTGGCGCTTTGTCCAGGACGATGAGCGGGAACGGACGAATATTTTCAGAGGGTGGGTTCAGTTCAGCATCGAGCAGTTGAAACTGGTGTTGTGAAGAGCTCTGAATCCAGCATTCAGCTGTTCAGAGCTGTTCATTCAGCCTTTAGCAGTTGTTCATTCAGCTGTTAGGCCTCGTTTGGTCCCGTTCCAAGAGGACAGTCCTCCGTTTGACGCAAGCAGCTGCAGAGTTTGGGCCAGAGGACTGGCAGCGCAGCGGCCGATGCTGGTTTCGTCGGTCTTGCGGCACGATTTTTAGCGGCGTGGCTCGGTGGCTGGTGGGGATGTGGTGTGGTAGGCTTTACGTCCTGGAACCGTTTTGAAGAAAAGAGCGACAAACTCTACCCTACTTCCCTGTCGTGACATGAGCCCTCACTGGCGCTGGGCACGTTGATCTTGCCGGCGCTGCGGTGGTGCCTTAATGTTTTGTTTCCTTTTCTTTATTTTGCTTACGTGGGTCAGTGTCCTTTCACAGGTGCTGGTTGTTTTTGGTTGTGAGGCAGCTGCGCATTTTCGGCAGTGAGGATGTGGTGGGCGTCTCTTTTTCAAAAGCCGTCAGGTCGCTTATGTGTGTCGTGTGTTGTGGAGCTGCGTTGGCGGCGGTTCTTGTATCGGTGTTGCTGCGGTGTGGGGGGTCAAGGTTACCCGGCTAGCCAATGGAGAAACATGCAAAGCCTTGCTCCCCTAAAAGCAAGCAAACAAACAAATTACATACAACAACATGCGGCCCGTTGCTGCACACTTTAATTTCTAAGCGGAGCTTCGGCAGATTTTGCTGACCCTTGCACCTTATCAACTCCAAATTTTTAGGATGTTTTTAGGATGTTCATTCTTTTTTCGTCCGGCATCCTGTGATGTCAAATCTGGCCTATTTTGCCCATCAGGAGTCCCTGCTCAATCTCATGGTTACAGCGCCTGTCTCAGCAGCCAGCGTTCATGAATGTGGCTTTCGCCACAGCCGTGAATTCGGGGTGACCACCCGACAGGATGCAAGATTTTTGTGCCGCTCGTGTGTATGTTTATATATATATATCTATCCTTCTCTATATGTATGTGTATATATGTATGTATGTAATGTATGTATGTAATGTATGTATGTATGTATGTTATGTTATGTTATGCTATGTAATGTTATGTAATGTTATGTAATGTTATGTAATGTTATGTAATGTTATGTACATGCATGCATGCATAGATGGATGGATGGATGGATGTATGTATGTATGTACGTAGGCACGTAGGTACGTAGGTAGGTATGATGTATGTATGTACGTATGTATGCATGGATGTAATGTAATGAATGTATTGTAATGTGAAGTAATGTAATGCAATGTAATGTAATGCAATGTAATGTGGTGTGATGTGATGTTGTAATGTAATGTGATTTAACATAATGCAATGCAATGCATATTGCAATGCAATGTAATGTAATGTAATGTGATGTTGTGATGTGATGTGATGTCGTAATGCAATGTAATGTAATGTAATGTAATGTAGTGTAGTGTAGTGTAATGGAATGGAATGTATGTATGTATGTATGTGCGTAGGTGTGTAGGTACGTAGGTAGGTATGTAGGTATGTATGTGCGTATGTATGCATGGATGTAATGCATTGTAATGTAAAGTAATGTAATGCAATGTAATGTGATGTGATGTTGTAATGGAATGTGATTTAACATACTGCAATGCAACGCATAATGCAATGCAATGCAATGTAGTGTAATGTAATGTAATGCAATGTAATGTGATGTTGTAATGTAATGTAATGTAATGTAATGAATTTCATATGTAACAACTGCTGATGGAGAAGTATTCCGCATCACATTTTTGGCATCACTGGTCAGTCGGTCATTGGTTCTCTACAGGGCTGGCGGATTAAACGCAATATGTGAAAGTGCTTTGGTTGGTGTGGTGTTTCTGCAAGTTGTGTCCTGAGGATGGCCAGAGAATCGTTGCATGTCGCTATGGCACAGCTCCAGCAGAGGGAGACACGGAGACAACTGAAGCACTTGGTGCCACACTTTACCTTAGCAGCTCGGCTAAAGCGTGGCGAGCAGACGGTTTGATGAGGTAGCTAGCCTCCTCTCGGGCAACTGCTTCCGCCGAGGTGTTGGATCCCGCTGGCTAGCAGATCCCGATGATCCCCAGACCTTCCGAATGAAGAAGGGGGTAGACTGCTCAGTGCCGGCGTCCCGTGCATTTCTTGACTGTTTGTTGTTGATGTTGGCAGCATGGCGGAGTCGGCTGAGGCCGACATCAAATGCTGCACAGCCATCCTGTCAAGTGAGCCGTTGACTCCGATTCGGGAAGAGTGGATGCCAATCGCACCCAACAGCATTGTGCTTTGTGGTCGAACTCGTGGTGAGAGCTGGATCCTCAGCGCTTCAGAATGCGGACGACGCATGGTTTTGTTAGCTTTCAACTCTCTTGGAGACCTTGCGTCTTTCGCCCCTCTAGCATTTAGTGAATAAGTTGTTAACATGAAGGTTTTCTTTTAACTACCAGTGGTTTACCGAATGCCTCTGAAGACCTTTTCGACACGGTCCTTCCCTGAGGCCAGACAATTGACACCTTGATGTTCGCCTTGCGCTGTGGCCCTGTTGTGGGTCTGAGCGCCTTGACCGGCGCCTTGGTGAAGATCCATGGTGACCCTCAAGTTCCCCCAAAAATCTAGGAACCAAATCAATAGCTAGGAGCATGTTTAGTCCCTCACTTAATACGTGGGCGCCTACTCAGTTACGTCGTTTTTATGCTATTAGGTTGGAGGCCATCGCTAATAGTTTTCTTTCTTTGTTTATTCTTTTCCCCTTTGGGCCTTTTCAGGAGGCAGGGCCACGTGCTAGTCAACACACGAGCCCGTGTGTCCACGCCATGGTTCTGAGGTGTTGAGTCCGCGCAGAAGGGTTCCAAGGAGTTCCTGGCGCAAAACGAGGTCAACTCAGTGTTCCTCACCAGCACTTGTGTCAGTCTGCTGGGCGGAACGACGTAACCGGTCCATGCGATGAGGATTGAGCACGAGATGCCAGCCCGTCAGGACCTGCGAGCCACTGGTGGTAGATGGAACACTTGATAATTCCTAGTAAAGGCTCATTTTGAGAGATCAGCGCCGTTGTTCCAGGATGTTTGGATGTCAATAGACTCCTCATCTGAATCGGGAGATGTCAACTGCCTGGTGACGTTGTCGGAATCGGTTTTTGTGGCTGGTTCAATGGATGGCTCTTTGCGGTTCTTCTACGCAGATCAAGGCACCGAGCAGAGCTCCTGTTGCTTCTTACCCATGGCGGCACTAGCCAATAAGTCTTCTTTACATGACGGACATGGCTTGCGCAGGTCAAGCTTGCGCAGTGAGACGGCATAGCCAAGCAAGCGGGCCAGTACTGGCACTGTTGTTCTTGAAGCGTGCTAGTGCTTCTTGGTGGCGGTTCAGGGTGTTTGGCAAGGTGGCACATAAAGTGTCGCATGTATCATCGTCATCATATCTGTGAAAATGACAGTATTATCTGATTGCCCAACAGCGTTGATGTCGTGTTTGTGCCCAAGGACAGCTTTCCGAATTCTTCCCAGGGTGATGATTCCCCACCGGAGCCCTGGCCTTTTTACAATTGACTGTGGGGTCATGACCGTCACCTCAACCCATTCCTAGTAGGTTGGAGGCCATCGCTACTAGGGTCCGCTCCAGATGTCTCCGGTTTCAGGAGAGCCCGTATGGAAGCCCAGCTGTAAGTACTCCTCGGTCGCCCATCACGAGAATGCGGTCGGACGGCTCAGATGGGCCGCTTGGTAGGAAAGAAGGAGCTGCTAGTAGCGTCCTTGCTCCTAGTAGCGATGCTTTGGTGATTTTGATGATTTGCATTGTTTTGCTCTACTTCTTGCGCGTGCTGCTCATTGAGGCCACCAAAGCTTGTTGGTCCAGCAGAGGTTTTGGATGCGTTAACGGCAAAGCCCATGGCCATGGACCTGCACCTTGGTCTAAGATGGGTCACATGGCAGAGGCCATCGCTCTTGGGTTGGAGGCCATCCCCCTTAGGTTGGAGACACATGGGTCACATGAGTGGAGCTTCCTAGGTTCTAGTGTTTGACTTGGGTCGCCTCATAGAGTCTCATTTGCTCGCTGTGGGCTCTTCAGTGCCAAGTTTGCTCTCCACATCCACCAACGAGCTCCGGATATGGGATGTCTCTGCAGTCATTCAGGACATGGGCTGACATGGGCAGATGACATGAAAAGCTTGGTGCTGATCTTTTTCAATTGGCCGATCGTTTCATTGGCAGGAGCTTGAGGCCACGGAGGTCAACGTCCCGTGTTTGTTATGCCACCCGGACGCAGAGACCCAGGGATCCTCCGAGCCGTTCGCGACCACACGGGGACTGACATGCGCACCACCTGATGCTTCGGCTCGGCACCCTCGCCGCGGTGGGCCCGCCCTGATGCCCAAGGCTTTCACTTTGCTCCCAACCAGGGACATTTGCTAAGCATTGCTGGAACTTTGGAGCACGTCCCCTCAGCTGCAGTTTGAATGGATCAGCCTAGTGGCCTAGTAGTAAAGAGAAAGGGAGGTTTTAGACATGTCGATGTTGCACCTTGGCAGACACTGGCTAGTTGAGGTATTTCTTGGCTTTCAGAGCACAAATTTCTTTTGTTTGCACTTGTGGCATGGCTGGAACAAGCTCATGCAAGCAAAGACGCGAACAAGAACTACCAGGCCTGGGTGCTTTTCCGTGCTGCTGGCGTGATATCCACTTGTTCCTTGGTGCAGGCATTACACTTTCAACATAGAGCTTGCCAGCAAAAAATCATGCCATGCGCCAAATGGAGCAGCAAAGTTTAGTGCCTTGGCTGGCGGGGGTCTGTGTGTGTGAGAGAGAAGGCATCCTTCTTCTAGACGTTGCTGTTCGGGTACCTGGCTGAGACAGCCAAGATGTTTTGCAGGCAGGCATGGGCAGGCGTCGTTGAAATCTATAGTGACGTTTCTAAGCAGTGGAATGTCTTTCTGTTGGCCCTGGAGTTTCAAGCTACATGTTGTGAAACTTTGTGAGGCTTGGAACTCAACCCTCACAGTTTGAAAAACCTCAAGACTTTCCCAGACTTCCTCTTTTCTGTCCGATCGACCTTCTATTTTGACGTACGCGCACGCGTGCGCAGGAGTCATATATTACTGTTTTTCTTTTCTTTTTTGTGTGTGTGTGTGCTTGTGGGTGCCGGGCGCCTGAAGAATTCTGATAGAAGAGGTTAACGCGTGTAGTGTTGAATGGCCGAACAGATGGTGGAGAGGCTTTTCGCAACGTGGGCTCACTGGCGAGGCCACCATACTCTCCTGGAGCCTTTGCAGACCTGCCAGCACCGGCATATGGGCTTCGTACATTGCATCGCTTATGAGCCATGCTCTGGAGTGGTCGCCTCTGGCGGAGGGGATGGGCGTATCTTCTTCTGGGCCAATCACCAGGCAGGCGCAGCAGGCTGCATTCTGCTCCTAGTAGCGTCCTTGCTCCTAGTAGTCAGGCCAGGAGCCCCGTTCGTAGCTTCTTGTTCCTAGTAGCGATGCACTTGTTTCTAATAGCTTCTTGTTACTACTAGTAAGGCACTTGCTCCGTTCGTAGCGATTTGATGCTGAAAGAAGCGCATGATGTGCCTTCGGCCTTCGAAGGCCATCAGCTCCTTCAACCATGGTGGAGCCGTACTGGCTCTGGCAGCATGTTCCATCGCAAAGGATGCACGGCTGAGTTCAGCATTCATGGAAGTTACTTTTTGGATGCACGCACGGTCACACCTAACGAAGAACTCATCACTCAGTTGTGCCCTTTTCCTAGTAGCGTTCTTGCTCCTAGTAAGGCCAGGAGCCCCTAGTAGCGTCCTTGCTCAATGAGGCCATTTTTTCTGGGGATGCCTATGGCCGTATTCGCGTTTGGGATTCGGCCTCGGTACAACACGGCAGCAGAGCAGTGCTATGCACAGGTCTGCCCCTCAGCCTGCCGCAGGTCCTCAGCCGTTCGGTCCTCGGTCCTGCTGCATCAGGTGGAGGTGGTAGTGCAGCGATTTTATCTTTAGCGACTCTTGGTGATGGTGGACGTGTTTGTGAAGGGCCGCCTCTGGTGATTTCAGGTGCGATAGAAGGAAAGACTTAGTTATGCTGCTGTCCTCCATGCATTCATTCATTCTCATTCTCTTCCTGTTCCCTTCCTGAACTTTGATTCTTTCCCCCTTGCGGTGGCAGTTGAGTTTTCTTTTGGAGAGGATGGCACGAGCACTCCGCCAGCACTCTGAGGTGATGCGGCAGGATTGATGCGGGTTTGGGATGCGGAGCACTGTTCCCTCCTTCGAGAAGTAAGCACTTGCATGACATGCTGCGCCGCAACGACTGCGCTGGGGATGAGGCGACCTCGGCCTGGAGAGATGCACGTGAAGCAGTAGGTGCTGACCATAAGAACTTCGAAGCCCAGTCAGCTGCCCCTCACAGGACCTCAAGTTCGGCCACCTCCACCAGCCACTACTGCTTGAGAGTAACGAGCGGCGGCTGTCACTCTGGTTCCATGGCAGCATCAAAATCAAAAGGAAAGTAGCAAGCTGCTACCATGCTAAGCCATGGAGATTCTGTGCTAGTTGACTGCTCCCGGACTTGGGGCGGGTAAGAAAGCAAGGTGCGATCAAGCTGGCGTACTTGGACGTGACGGCCGCAACGAAACGCAAGCAGCTCAATATCTCCCCCGTGGGCCGAATCTGTGGTCACTTCTGCCGAAACGAAAATTGCGGGCACGAGGCCGGCAGATCTTGTGTTTCGTGGGCCCCTGCCTTTTTCAAGGGGGACGAGGAATTAGACTCTGGAAGAGATGCATCCACCCTTCTACAGGAGCGAGATGGACATGATGGAACAAGAAATAAGAAGGCTACATAAAATATATGTTTGTTTTCTTATGTTCTTTCTTGAGTTAAGCTAGACCCTCAGACCTTTCTTTTCTATTTTTCTTTCTTTAGACCTTTCGACCCTTCTTTTTTTCTTTGGACCTGTAGACTGTAGACTTCTCTTTTTCTTGCTAGGCCTTGAGTTCGGAATGTCATACTTCTTGCTATTCTTTTTAGATCCACATGCCAGAAAGCTGCTCAAGGTCTTTTTTCCCACATCATTGTGTGGGACCTTTTCCGCATCCTTGGGCTTTCCTCGTTGTGAGCTTCACCTGCCCCTCGATCAATCAATCACTTGCCGGTTGCTGCACTTTGTGCAGCTTTGAGAGGCTTGTACCTTTGAACAGCTGCACCATGTGGGCCGATTTCGTTGTGGGAGTGGCCCTGGCATGCTGTTTCGCAATACCTCTAGAGTTTCTGTCTTCATGACGCTGTGATATTGCTTGTCGCTGTAATCGACCACCGCTTAGTGACAATTTGGCCTAAGAACGATGGCCTCCAACCTAATAGACGTTCCTTTACGCTCATGATTCATCAGACGCCATAGCGAAACCGCAGTCTGTCAAGGTGGAAGGAGGACAACAGGAGGACAAAGAGGTTGGCAAGCAGGAAGTGTAGAGCGCTGGTGAAATTTGCATCGGTTCTAGTGATATGTTGGTGATATCAATGTCGCTGATTTGGTGCTTCCACATCCTGGTGTGGTAGCTGATGTCAATATTGAACAAGTCCTGACTGGTGGCCAAACTGATTCATATGAAAGTTGGTGGAGTGAGTGCGGT